TAGGAAAATTTTCGTCTGCATTTATGATGTTAAATAACATTTTACAAAAGTCCATAGAGTTGCTGTGTGGAATCTGTAATAGTTACTTTTCTCATTGTGATGTCAAATTCCTGACAAGAAACGAATGGAAGAAGGAAGGCTTTATTCTGGCTCACAGTTTACAAGAGTGCACGCCATCATGTCAAGGAAAGCATGGTATCAGGAGCACAAAGATGCCTTCCATTATGGTGAGGAAGGTAAGGCACTAGGAATGGGGAAGGATGCAGTCTATCATAGGGAGGAAGGTAAGGTATTGGGAATGGGGAAGATGCATTCTATCATAGGGAGGAAGGTGAGGCATTAAGCATGGGGAAGAATGCAATCTCTCACAGGGAAGAAGGTAAGGCATTGAGAATGGGGAAGGATACAGTCTATCATAGGGAGGAAGGTAAGGCATTGAGAATGGGGAAGAATGCAATCTATCACACGAAGGAAGGTAAGGCATTGGGAATGGGAGGGTGCATTCCTTCATGGGGAGGAAGGTATAACATCAGGAGTGGGAGAGTAGCTCTGCACACTGCATGCACACTTAGGAGACAGAAAGCTGTGAGTCCTGGTGCTTGGCATGCATTCCCTTTTTAATACAGTCCAGACCCTCGGCCCAGGAAATGGTGCTGCCCACAGTTAGGGTGGATCTTCCAACCACTATTAACCTAATTTAGGTAATCCCTCATGGACATGCCCAGTGATTCATCTCTGAAATGACTCTAGATCCTGTCAAGTTGACAATCAGCATAATTGTACCTAAATACTCTTTCTGATGAAAATTAAATAATTAGCACAGCAATTTACTTTCCATATATGTATTTATTTAAATAATAATTGACTAAAGCAAAAATATAGTAACTGTGTCATTACAATGCATAGAAGAAAAATAAATATGTCCAAAGACCAGGACACAAGAAATAGATGTACAGTGTAATATCCTAATATCTTACATGAATTAGTTTATTATTTGATGGAAAGCTGTGACCACTTTAAGATGCATATTGTTAATTCAAAACTAAAAGAAACCAACTTCTCTTTGTCTCTGTCTCTCTCTTCCCCTACCCCTCATGGTGTGTGTGCTTGTGGGAGATCAATAGAAATAAAAATTTATTGCACAATCTACAAATGAGGCAGTGAGAAAAGACAGTAAGAAAGAACAAACAGAATCAAGTCATTAGAAAATAATATTAAGATGGTAGACTGGGGGGCAGGAGAGAGAATGCAATGGTTAAGAGCAGTTTCTGCTTTTGGAGAAGATCCAGGCTCAGTTCCCAGCACTGACATGGTGGCTCAGTTACCAATAACTTCAATACCCTCTTTTGCCCTCTTGAGAGCACCATGTGGTACACATATATACATGTAGGCAAAACACTAATGCATATAATAAATAACTTTTTTAAAGATGATAGACTTAAATGAAATCATATCAATAACAACAATGAGCATAAAATAGTACAAATACACCATTTAAAGGCAGATGCTGCAACAATGAATAAAAACATATGCTCTTAGTCTGGCCGTGTGTGCAGATAACTAAGCCTAGTTTCTTGAGAAACCAAAGCAGAAGTAGGAACAACAACTTCAATACTTCCCTGGGTGACTAAGTAAGACCCCATCTCAAAATTAAAACTACAAAAAGGAAAGGGATTTAGCTCAATGGTAGATGGATTTCCCAATGTTTCCATGGGTTCAGTACCTCGAATCACCAAAAATGGAAAGAAGTATGCTGCTACTTATGTGATCTACTCTAATTTATGTTCAGTTAAACATCAGGAATACAAAAAAGAACAGAAAAGTTAACCACAAATAGGTAAGGGTGGCTATATATCTTTATCACACAAAAGAGATTCTTGATTGAATTTCAGACCAGGAAAAAATATTAAAATAAGTAACTGAAAAAAAACTGAATGACATTTACAGATTAGTTAAAAGTATTATTGCATATCTGAATTTCCTGATCTGTAATTATACCCTGATGATCTGTTACTAGCATCCAAGGAGACTTAGTAAAAGTTTTCAGACATTTGTAAATATTTAAAAAACAGAACTAAAAATACTTAAAAAAACTAAAAATTTCTGCTCCCTGAAAACCAAGTGTGGGGAGGTACGATCCTGTAATCCCAACACTTGGGAGGATGAAGTGAAAGAAATACCAGTTCAGATGCATTTGCCTAGAAAATTCCTACATTAAATAACAAAACCCACTATCATGATGCTAATAAAAAAATAAAGCAAGACATGACTGATGGTGAATCAGAAGTTTCACATTTGTGACTCTATGAATGAGAAAAATGAAGCAAACAAGAGAACCGAGGAAATCCAGAAAACAGGCACTGGGAACCAAGACGAGATGCTACGGCCAGTGAGCATGACGAAGAAGACAACGCAGATGGAGCAGGACAAAGTCTGCACTGCATCCCTGGGATCCTCCCTCTAGAGGGGAAAAGTAGACACCATCTTTTACTTTGCTCAAATATTAATTGAAGATGAATCAAAGATATTGAGACCATGAGACTTTGCAACTTCTAAGAGAAACCACTTCAAGATACAGGCACTGCCAATGTTCTCCTGAACAGAACATCAGAGGCCTGGGAGGTCGCAAAAACTAAAGAGTAGAACTAGATTAAATACAAAAGCTCTGTAAGGCAAAGGATGGAGCTATAAGGATGAAAAAAACAACTCACAGAACAGAATGAAATCTTTCCCAGCTATTCATCTGTCTGACAGGAGACTAGTAATCCAAAACACACACAGAACTCAAAAATTATTCTTCCCCAAATAATAATCCAACCAATAAATGAACAATGCAAAACGGACACTTTTCAAAATAAGTATAAATGGCCATTAAGCGCATAAAAGAGTATGTTCAACATTCATTAACTGCTAGGAAAATGCAAATGGAAACTACATGGAGATTCCGTCTCCCCTAGTCAGACTGCGCTCACCAAGTCACAGAGAAAGAACATATGCCGGTGACGGCGACACCACGGGTGAGATGGCAACTTGTACAGCCACTGTGAAAATGCACATAGCTTCTTCCAGAAACTCAAAGCAGGCTTACCCTGTGATCAGTCATATGCACCGCTCCTGTGGATATACCTTTAGGGATCGAAGTTAACATACAGTAGAGACCTGCATACCATGCTTATTGTAGCACTATTCGCAAGTGTAAAAAAAATAAAAATGTTCCACATCTTAACTGTGGTGGTTACAGGGGTATATGCGTCATCAAAATACCTTTATAATGCACAATTAAAATGGATACTTTTGGCTACATATAATTTATATCTGAATATAAGATTATTTCAAAAACTTTCATAACTCTGATATTTAAAATGCTATTTATCAGAGCAGAAGGGCCATGTCCTTAGCTTCAGAAACTGAGTCAAAATTTGACTGAAACTTTTCTCTTAATGTATATGCCAAGATTTTGAAAGATGAAGTGTACATAATGAGTAGTAAAGAAGGAATAAACACATTTAGACAAAGTGGTTTTTAGGAGCTGGAAAATGGTTCAGCAGATAATAGCACTTATTGTTCTTAATGAGAATGTGAGTCCGATGCCCAACACCCACGTCACAGTTCAGAACGTCTCAACTCCACTTCCAGAAGGTCTGATGCCTTCTTATGACCCTGTGGGCACAGGTACACATACAAGGAAGAAAAACATTCACACAAAAAAAGATAAATAAATCCCTTTTTAAAAAGTAATTTTTTAAAAAAATATTTGTTATGTGGGCGGGGTTTTAGAAGCTGAAACGCTTCTGTTTAATATTATATCAAATATTCTATAAGTAAATATGTAAGTAAACTCTATAAATATGTAAACTGTATTGCTATAAATACTTTTAAAAAAAGGAAAATGAAATCAGGATTAGCTCTACAGCAGAAAGTATGCCAAACAAAGAGAATAGTTTTTAAGTATGATAGATTATTATTTTATTGACATTTCTGCTAAAAAAATAAAGTGGTAATATTAGGTAATTTTGTGAGCACCAAGGGTGAACACTGTACTGTAACCTATATACTCATGACCTCATTGAAATGTATCTAAATATTTACGGGAGAGATAAAAAGTTACCACTGTTGCTTCCTCAAGTCACACAGAGTGAAGATCACAGCAGATGTGCAGCCAGCATTCAGGCTCCTTGTCGCCCTCCCGTTTTAGCCCCAGTTACAAATACACATACCAGTTTTTGAACACTTAAAAGGATCAAGTGTATTTTTAAAAATAAAGCACCTAACTTTCTTGTAAACACAGTTCTCTGCCATGACTCAAAGCCCCAGGGACTCCTCAAAGCTGTCAATACAGAACAGTTCAATGTGATACTGTCTTACTACATGCTTATGGATCTCAGGACAAGCATACACCAGAATACAGAGGTTTGCATGGAGTGGTTCCTTGGGACAGTACTAAGAAGACTGCCTCAAGCATGGGCAGATTTTATGGCCTCTATACCCACATAGTTACAAAGAGCTGGAAATCATTTTAAGGGGGAAAAGTTACAAGCTCCCCAGGATTTCCTGCATTTTTGTTCTCACATTTATAAGGTCATTATGAATCACAGATGGTGGAGACTTGACCTCAAAAAGGATCTCAGAAAATCTCTTGAAGACAGCCACAGGGAAATCTTTATGTCCACTCTCTTCTATGTAAATGCTTTTCAGTTGTTTACTCCTTTTGAATAATTCTCTTGAATTTTAAGAGTTTCATATATTTCACTGACTTTCCTTCTTAGGTTTGCTAATAAGGATTTATTAAAAGTCACTGGGTTTTGTTGTTTTTTTAAAAATGGATTATAATTGAACAATAGTAACTGCACTAAACTAAAAATTATGTACTTAAATAACTGATAAAAAGAAAATAGTCTTTGATTATCTTGCTTAAGAATATATGAAATATTGAAATTGAGGCAAAACTACATTCATGCATGTGCTAAATGTGTTCATGCTAACAGCAATTTTTACCTTACCTGAAATCACACGCTGTGGTAAATTCTGCTCCTCCGCCCATTGCCCAGCCTTGAACCAGAGCAACGCTTATTAATGGTAGTCTGTATATTGAAGGAAAATGGATGTTAATAATTCTAACATCAGTGTTCATTTATTTACATCATTTTAAGGTCTTCAACATTTCGCAGTGTTAGCATCAAGAACCATCAGAAGCAGTGACTCCTTGAACATGTGCACCATCAGAAGTGAGATGAGGCCAAGCACACAGCAGCTCACACTAGTGCTGTAGAGGGTTAGCAAACCACCTTCCTGAATCACTGTCGGCTTTGCAGTGGTGGTACATACTGTAACTGTCTTCTAATCAGAGAGCCTATGAAATACGTTTAGCACCAGGGGCTCTCCACAGCTGTCAATACAGCACACTCACTGTGAAACTGTCTGCTCTACAGTCAGGTTGGGGGTATTACAGTCCTATCTGAAGAGATACCCTGGTCTAAAACAGAGCTACAAAACCAAGTACTTAAGATTCCCACCAAAAGACTTAGCATTACTATCTAAATGCTCCTAGACTGCTCCTGTATATAAGCATTATCTAGTGTTTAAAATAAATCTTATCGTTTCTGTTTACAAAGACATGCATAGGGGACAATGGTAAACACTTTCAATCCCAACGCTTGAGAGGCAGATAGAAGTGTATCCCTAAGAGTACAAGGCTAGGCTGGTCTAGCTCCTGCACAGCCAGGGCTACATAGCAAGACCTTATCTTAAAAAAGTAATAATATAAAAATACATTCTGTCACAACAGTGTGAGAATACTATCAGGCAGATTGAAAATGTTTCCAAAGTATGCAGTTTTCAAAGTATGTATGTAATAGGTTCTAACCAAAATGTAACATATTGGTCTAACAAGACTAAATAGTTCCTAATAAGCCCTCTTCAACATAGAAAGAAATGCTTACATGAGAATAACTTTTAGCTAGATGTGGGGTTGTACACCTGTAATCAGAAGATGCACACTCAGAAGATGGAAGCAGGAGAATCAGGAGTTTAAGGCTTCCCATGACCAACAGTAAGTTTGTGTGTGTGTGTGTGTGTGTGTGTTGGTCAAACTGAGCTACATAATACCCTGTCTCAAAAATTAATTAATTAATTGAAAAAATTAAAATTAAAAAATCTAGAAAAAGGGACCGATGGCTTAGTAGCTTAGAGTGCTTGTTATTTTGGCAGAGTACCCAGGTTCAATTCCCAGCACCCATATGATAGCTAATAATATCGAAACTCCAGTTCCAGGGAATCTGATGCCTTCTTCTGATCTCTGAAGGCACTAGACACACAGGTGGTGTACAATACAGACACCCAGGCAAAATATTCATACACACAAAGTAATATAATCTAAAATTAAAATTTTAAACTAGGAAAAAAAAGTTAAGAACAGTGTAATGAGAAAAATAAGGCAATGGTATTTAAAACAGTAACATGATGATTCTATTGCTTTTTCTAGACTCTCAGAGGAGTATAAAAATACAGAAATGCCTAGTTAATAAGCATGCTTAGATATGAATTTTCTCAGTTTTCATACCTTTAAATGGCTTACATTTAAAATGAAAAATCAGAGATACAAAACATGTCAAAATTTGTAACCTGAAATGCAGTTTTTTTTCCTCCCTTTTCCTTTATCCAGATACAAAATAAGCCCATTTTTGTCAGAGAGCTTTTATATTTTCCAGTGCACAGTTCTTCATCATCCGAATGCAGTCTGCCTCAGCCCACTTCTACCGTTCTCCTTCCTGGAGGGACTTTTGCGTGTCACCTCTCGATCACGATCCTTTCTCTGCCTGGTGTCAGCATCTGACTTTCTCTGTAGCTCTTCCTGGCAGGAGCTGGTTATATGGGCGCTGCTTCTTAAATTATTTTCTGCTTCTTTTCAAAGCTGTTCATACCTCACTAACATGTCATTCTAATGACTGCTCTCTGTGGCATAAAGAAACAGTCCATTATTATAACAGACAAAGTTTGAAGCTCAGCTAACCTTTTAAAATGTATAAGTAATGAAATAATAAATTACTAAACCCGGTGTTTTAAAAATCCTATTTTTAAAAGAAAGATACGTTACCTCATAAATCTTGTTAAGGTGTTCTGCATGAACATAGATAAGGCCACTCCGTTCTTTGAATAAAAATAAATATAAGCACAAATAAATATTACATAAGAAATATTTTTAAAATTCAGAGTTTGAAAGGAAACAAAGTCAAATTTTTTGAAAACAGACATTTTCATTTTGTACTGTGAGGAAGAACCGTAATGTTGCTGTATGTGCTGTTCTCCCAGGGCTTGACCTCAGCATTGCACAGGGTGAGTCAGACAGTTTCTGAATTACTCTCGTTTCTCACTAATGTGGCAAAAGTTCTAAAAACAGCAGTTTAAGGAAGAAAGGAAGGGTTGATGGCAAAACAGTTTGAGGATCTAGTTCATCATGGCAAGGAAGACGTGGCAGCAGAATCCCAAGACAGCTAGCTGGGAATACGGCATGCTCAGTCAAGAGGCAGTGGGAAACAGCATTACTTAGCTTGTTTGCTCTTCATTTGGATCAGGACCCCAGGATATGCAAGTGTCACCTGCATTTAGGGTGCTCTTTCCACCTAATTAACCTAATCCAGAAAACCCCTCATAAGAATGCAGAAAGGTTTATTTCCAAGGTGGCTCTTCAATCTCATCAAGTTGACACCCGAGACTGACCACTGCAGCTTCCTGAAGTGGAGCACCACTCAGTACTCGGGAGAAACTCGAGTCGGACCCTCCTCCTGCTACCTCTAGGAAGCCACGTGTAAAGAGAGAAGGTATAGTGAGCTCTGGGATTTGTACTCTAAGGCTTTGAGTCTCAGATTTTTCACAAACTCCATGTTCTCTCATAGGAGCCATACCTTCTTCAATAGAGTATAATCCGACCTTCAGCCTAGTCTCAAAACATTTTAATATTCTATTTGTCCAATTAAATGGCCTTTCCTTCCTGCATACCATCTTCTCTTCAGCATCACACCTGTTCCTTCCCTCTGGTCCTCTCTTCCTAGGAATACTCTTCACTCCTAATTGTCTGTTGCTTGGTTGTTCTTCTGGTGTGGGAGAATTGTCTATAATCTGTCAATCATATTTTAAATAAATGCTGATTGGCCAGGCAGGAAGTATAGGCAGGAAAACCAGACAGGAAGTAGAGGTGGAGCAAAGAGAACGGGAGTATTCTGGGAAGCAGAAAGCTCCCTCTGGCACTCTTGTGCAGATCACCGAAGAAGCAACATGTGAGCTGCCCAGCTGGAAAAGGTACTGAGCCACATGGCCAACACAGACAAGAATTATGGGTTACCGTAAGATGTAAGAATTAGTTAATAAGAAGACTGAGCTAATGGGCCAATCAGTTTATAACCTAATGTGGACTCTGTGAGATTTTCTTTGGGACTTGCTGGTTGTGAGGTACCAAGCAGGACAGATACCCCAACAAGCCGGCCCTCATGTTATAAATGGTGCCCACATGGATAACTGCATCCACAGAAAGCCTGAGAAAGCTTGGGAAAGAATAGAGTAAAGCATATTTTCTTGGTAGCAGCAATTTCTCAGGTCTGCTCTGTTTGCTAGAGGCAAGCAAGCACTCTCATTTAAGAGAGGCTTCCTGACTCAGCTTTAGCTGCAAAACCCTGCAGCTCTTTTAAGAGGTCCTGCCACAAAACACTTAAACAGTGTTGATGAAAACCTGAACACATGCTTTTCGGGTTTTCAGCCATAGCAGGAAAAAAGCTGCGTCATTTTAAAATGATGACTTTCTGGGTCTACCTGCCAGGGCAAACTCTGACTCTTTCAGGCAGGCAGCCCAAAGCACTTGAGTATGGTCTGTGAGCAGAATGCTGCAGCTTGTTTGCTGTCAGGCACCTTGAAATGCCATAGAGTTGTGGCAATAAAAATAGCTACAACCGGGACCTCCGCCATGAGTCTGGAAAGCTAAGGAATGGGCTGAATCTAGCCATCAAAGCCACCGCTTTATCCTCTCCATAAAGACTCATGTGGTCAGAAAAAGAGAGATATACAGTAAAGAGAGATTCAAAGATGAAGAAAACCTCTAAATGTTTTACAGTGTGTTAAAAATATATGCAGGCTAAAAGTTAAAGTTCTTAAAGTTAAAAAGAAAGAGAGTAGTTGGGTGTGGTGGTACACACCTTTAATCCCAACACTTGGGAGGCAGAGGTAGATTGACCTCTTTCTGGAGGCCAATCATTTAAATGGGGTTTGTAAGCAGCATGTTACAAACTGCTTACTGGCTCAACATAGACCCACTGCATACTTGGAACTGGGGTGGTGTGGGTAGCTCAGAGATAGTGAAAGGAGCACTTCCACCATGTTGGACTGGGTGGGGGAAGCATGTAGTGCTGTAATTTCCCTAGCAATGCCACCACTTAAATTCATAAGAAAGGCTTAGCATTTTAAGAAGCACTTCTTGTCAGAAAAGGATTACAGATATGCAATAAAGACATATTCAGACTTAAAAAAAAAGATCTCTAAATGGGTTACAGTGTTGGATAAATGTACGTAGGTGTGGGAGAGAGAAGAAAAAGAGTATAGAGAGTTGGGAAGGAAGTAAATGGTTTTTAAAAAATAAAACAAAGTCTTTAAAGAGACAGAATACAAATAGTCATAGATTAAAGGAATAAAGATAAATATTAAAAATTAATAGAGTAAAAAAAATAATAAGCCATGCAAAGATGGAAAATTTACAGAGTCTGGATTATGTATGCTTTGTATTTTCTTTAAATTTTTTGACTGCAGAGAGACATTTGATTCTGGGGATTGCAAAGCCAAACCAACATATATACTATGTTGTTATGTATATATATACATATATATACATACATACATATATATGTTAATAGATAATCATCTATAATAGTCAAGCTTGGAGTCATGTTAGTTGGGTTTTCTAGATACACAAAGATATAGTTCAGTTAGATAAGTATTCTTCACATCTTTCAGAGACCTTCAGAATATGGCATTTAAAATGTTTAAGAAGTTGGGACTTTTCTTGGCAGTGAGACACATTTGTTCCTGGCAGCACCAATCTACTTAAAGAGTAAAATGGGCATCAAAGAGGCTCCTTATGGAGTTGTTTAGCCATTTGGGCAAGAAACTGCTCTTGCCTGGACTGCTTGATGGTGTGCTGTATGAACTGGACATGCAGGACTCACAGACAAATGACTGCTGTAGTTGCCTAAATAAGGTGATACCGTTCTTCGGGGTTCCTACTTCATGAAAGTCTGCCAGACATTCTGCAGCACACAGAAGAAAGTGACTGACAAACTGCCAGTATAGGTGGAACTGTCTATGAAATTTCCTGCTTCATGGAAAAGTCTGTCAGATACTATGGACCCGTAGGCTGAAGATGGACGCCCCAATGGTACAGAAGAACTTTGGGTGACTGTCCAGGCAGCAAGATTCTCTGTCATTTCTAGAGTTTTTGAAGTTGCATACAATTCACTTCCTGTTTACTTAGGTAATATTATATCCTTCTGGAGTCTTTGACAGAGTTGAAGAATTTATAGTAAAAAGTTTTCCTTAGTTATGCTAAAAGATAATGTAGATATAAATATTGTAACTGTAATTCCTGCTTGATAACTGTTTTTTTATATGAAATTTTACTATCCTAAAGTTAAAACCTTCCTTTTTATGTGAACAGAAAAGGGGAGGTGATATGGGATTCTGCTCTGTATTCTGTGATTACCATTAATGAATAAAAAAAACTGGCTTGGCCTGATAGGGTAGAACAGATCTAGCCAGGGAAAACTAAACTGAATGCTGGGAAGAAGAAGCCATGGAGCTGCTGCTGGAGACAGGCATGCTGGAGCTTTGCTGATAGAGCATGACCTTGTCGTAAGACACAAATAAATGGAGATGGGTTAAATTAAGATGTAAGAGTTAATTAAGATGTAAGAGTTAAATTAAGATGTAAGAAATAAGAAGCTAGAGCTAATGGGCAAGGAGTAATTTAAATAATATAGTTTCTGTGTGATTATTGTGAGAGTCTGGGCAGCCTGAAAACAAACAAGCAGCCTCTTACAACACAATAGAACTACCAATACCAATAATTTATGAAATTTCTTCTCCCTCCTCTTATACACCACTCTGACATGTAAAAGAAGTGCATATCTAATGTATGCAACTTGAGTTTACAGTAATTCAATTATCAGCACCTATTCAGGCTGCAGATACACCCATCACTTATAGTATTTTTATTATTCCCTTTATCATCAGTGTGAAGTGTGTATAAGAACATTCAATGTAAGACCCACAATTTATGGATATACTATAGCATTGCTCATTATAGGCACTATGCTAAAGTACTAATTTCTAGCACTAATTTACCTGTATAATAGAACTCTATTTCCCATACTCTCTCCTTAGTACCTGTCAAACACCATTCTACTCTGTGTTTCAATAAGCTGCTCTATTTGAGAATCCACATATGAGATCAGCATGAGATTTCACTAGCAGTAATCTTTATACCAAAGTAATATGCTCAAATAAAGGGCATAGGGTACACATATGGAGAACTCTAGATTATTTTTCCAACTGTTTCACAATCTTAAAATTATTCTAAAATTTCATTTTTTTAAGAAAAAAATAATCAAATTAGAAAAGAGATGTGGGGGCACTACTGGGAAAGGAGAGCAGCAGGAGCAATACTGAAAGCAAGAGACACTCATCCTCAAAGGCACCAGCACAATCAAGAGTGCTCCTCTCAGACCACAATGATGAGTCCTTTCAGCATGTCAACCCAGTTGTCTTTCAGAGATCCTCTGTAGGTCAGACATCAACATTTAGTTGTTTTTCTATAGTATTTGCCTTATAAATCTTTATAATTTCTCACACAGAAAAAAAAAAGAATCAAAATAGAAACTACAGTTAGAAGGCTAAGGAGTACGAGTTCTGACAACAACCACATAGGACGGTGTGCTGGGAGCTGCCTCGGCGCACAGCCTACATACTTGCCTCTGGAGTGGAGAGTGCTTTCACAGCATTCAGATCAGATCCTGAGCAAAAAGTATTTTTTGCCCCATGGACAATGAGGCCTTTCCCTTCTGTCCAATTTTCCAGTTCAATTACTCTTTCCAAAAGTTGTAGCATCATGACACCTACCAGATGAAAGCAAAAATATGAACAGATATAAGAGATTGATAAAAACAGAAATAGTATCATGTCCAGTAAGACTACCAGGACAGATACTCTACTACTGTATATCTACTGTGTATCTACTGTGCATCTACTGTGTATCTACCGTGTATCTACTGTGTATCTACCAAATGCCTAGTGTGTGACTGTAAGGATAAAAGTAAAATGCTGTGGATCCCCAAGTGGCTGCAGCAGGCCACCGGCTAGTCCTGGCACTGGCCAAAACTGCCTTTCATCTAAACTGAAGATCTCCAGACATGGACAAAATCGCTGGATCGACAGCCTAGCTGCTCAGGTCAAGGTAGGTCTGTCTTTCTACAGATTTCTTAGCCCACAGGATCTTCTGGAGCCTGGCAGACTCTGAACTAAACAGCAAAGACAAATACGACCTTCAGTGTCCATGGAAGACTCTGAGGTGCCAACCAAGTAAGTTCTCTGTCATTTTCTAATCAGTAACTCAAGTAAAATTTTATCCTTCTCAAAGACCTCTGATGTAGTTTGACAGCTGAGAGGTTTTGTCATTTAAAAGGACAACCAAACAAATTGCAGTAAATTACAAATACAGGTTATTAAGGTGTGTACCTGCAAATAATAAAGGTGTAAGGACAAACACAAGTTAATAAAATTCTCTCTCATGCTGCCTTCCACAGTCTTAAAAATACTTTTCATTATGCAAAAATATCTGTCACAGTCATTCTAACATAAATATGCTACTGTTTATACAATATATATGTCTAAAACTTCTATTTTCACAAACTCAAAGAATTCTTGTGAGTTCCAGGGAGCCGAATTGAAGGATCCACCTTAAACAGGTCAGATACACCCGCCTCAATTCCCTAGTCCTATTTTTTTCCCCTTTACTTAACTTTGTCCTCTGTTCTGTCAATACCTTAGACAGGTGTAAGAGAGACCAGACATTTCCATACCACAAATACCAGACAGGAACAAACAGACCAGCTACGCCTGGATATGACCAGCACCCAGCCTTCTCAGGTTCCCCCGACAAAGACGACACCCACAAATAAGTAGGAAGCAGTCTTGAGAATCCTTTAACCTGTGGGATCTAACCTCCTGCCTTTTTATTATAAAAAAAGAGATGGGAATGCAATGATCTATCCTGTCCCTTTAAGAGACAAGCCCTGCCCATTCCCTCCTCCATTCACTGAGGCAGGCAGATCTTCCTTCCTGCTTGTAGCCTGACTCTGGTCCTTTTCCGTCTCCCTCTCAAAGAGAGGAGCTTCTGTCTCTCTCTTCTCGTCTCTTCTCTTCTCTCTCTCTCTCTCTCTCTCTCTCTCTCTCTCTCTCTCTCTTCTCTCTCTCTCCACTCTCTCCTCTTCTCCTTTTTCTCCTTCCGTTCCATAACCCACTAAATAAATATCCAGCTTCACTCTGCATGGCGGACCTATCCAAGTCTCTGTCTCTCGCCTGCTGTGTGGCTTCCTGCCCAGGACCAGCCAGCGGCCAGCTGGAGCCACTCAGGGATCCTCAGCATTTTACTTTTCCCATTACACTGATACAATGGAATATATAAACAAGGCATATAAAATAGCCCCACCTTAAAATTTTAATTCATTAGTCTATATAGCTTAAGAAATCAGACAAATATATTTAGAAAGAAAAATAAAAATGATCATACATGTCCTAGACATAGAAAAAATAGAATGTATAATATTGGATACAGTGATAAGAAAAAATTGCTTCTTATAGTAAAGATAGCAAATACACGTCTCAGTGAACAAGCTCAGTAAGTTTGATGAGCATAAGATGACTGTGAAATTTTTATAATATAAAGGCTATAAAAATATAGGACAAAGTGAGTCTAGCTCTCTTCCTAGCAGGACTGACAAGATTTTAGTTAGGTCTAATAAATACATAATAAATTAAAGACATGGTTGACAAACTGACATGCCTGAGGAACGCTGTGAAAGTGTTTCACAGGTCTACCAGAAGTCAAGACAATGATTTACGTCTTAGATCATTATGGAGATATCGTTACAAAATTCTTTCACAATAAATTTAACAGCCTTCCTTTAATAATAAATTTAAAATTGGAAACCGCAGAGAATGTCATCTGAAAATCTAATGAGTAAGCTGTATCTTTGCACATCTTTGGTTATCTTCCAGGGTCATAATGTCTTTACTACTCTAGATAAGGGAAAACACAATTAGAAGCCAAAGTAAAGATCGTAACTGCAGGTTATAACTTCCGGAGAATCTACTGTTTCCAAGCCTTGCTACACAGATCCCACTAAGATAGACTTATTTTTGAAAAAAAAAAAACCCACAAGGTCAATAATCACTATTCTGCCATTGGAATTGTTAGATCAATGTTATACACTCACAAATAACTAATAAAATAATCCTTTCTAAGTATGATCTACTTAAAATGGAAACTTCTCAAGAATGTCCTATGTGCTTAAAAATATTATTGCATCCAAATTACTTCTAGTTTGGGAGAAACCAAAGTGCACACAGTTAGTGTAAGAATAAATCAATCTATACAAATATGCATCTTCAATTATGTATGGTATTTAAGTGCCTAAATAATAATGGTGTCCATGAATATATGAAAAAAAACTATACTACTAGTTAATTTTAAACTCATTCTTTTGACTTAGAGCAGTAAGCCTAAGAATTTGAAGGAGATCTTACACACTAAAGGGCCTCAGAGTGTCCGCTTTGATTAATTTTAAGCAAAGGCACTGGAGGTTCACTTATCTTCCCACCCAAGCTAACAAAACACCTTACGTAAAGCAGCTGTGCTTTTACTTGTTTTGCACATTATGCATCAAACTAATACTCCCCTATATAACTGAATATAAACAACTACCACTGTTAATTATATACAAATTTTGAACACTCGAAATGTGGGTGGTCAGCTGAGATATGAACTAAATGTAATAGCAGATTTCAAAGACATACTATGAAAATAAAAGGAACGTATCTCACATGTAATTTCGTGTATGTTATTTTGCAGAAAATATTTTAAAGCATTTATGTTTGATATACATAGAGCCAAAATCTTAGAATGTCTTATCAAAACTTAGTTTCTAAACTAGCTGAATAGTACAATAAAATAAATAAATCTAATGCTACAAAAATTCCTTGCTAGGGACATTTTCATCTTCATTTAAACAATAAAAAATGTTTACAAAACTCCACAGAGTTGTTGTGTGGAATCTGTGATAGTTACTTTTCTCATTGAGATGTCAAATTCCTGACAAGAAACAAATGAAGAAAGTAAGGCTTTATTTCAGCTCACAGCTTATGAGGGCGCACGCCATCACGGCAAGGAAGGCATGGAATCACGGCGGCGGTGGGGGGGGCAGCTCTATTTCGTTTTTCTTCCTAAATGATGGCTGCTAAAATATTTACTACTACACAGGAATCTCATTTTTATTAATATTTGCACTCATAATTTAAAAAAATCAGCATATGCATAACTACAAAAATATTTCTGGTTCACATTACAGTCATTTACATACACACGCACACACACGCACACACTACAAGGAATACCAAGACTTTCAAGGATTTTGCCACCATGGCCGGGCCGGAAACTACAATAGCAGGCTCTGACTCAGGGTCACTCTCTCTCTGGAGAAGGGACCTCCGTACCTGAGAAGGCATTCATTTTATTGGGGTTGTTCAGAGTGAGAATGCCAATGCCATTCTGCTTCTTCTGGAGGTCAACGGAGCCGCCAGGAAACTGCGCCAGTATCTTTTTCACTTCCTCCTCGTGGAAGCCATGGGATGTGTTATAAAGCGACACCCCCGTTTGTAACAGTTTCGTCCTTGCAGACAGAGACGTAGTCAAAAGACTTTTTGCCATTTCTAGAAAAGAAAGAAGTATGAAATTGCTCCAATAAAAGACTCAATTTTATTTCTCTACCATTATGTCTGGATATAATAATAAGCCTTTCTCTTGAATTGTGAAAACCTCTCCAAAGAAGGTAGATTCCATTTTAAAAAAAAAAAAATTAGGACATGGCCTGGTTAAGTAGGCCAGGCTAGCCTATATCTCATTTTCCTTCAAGGTTCCAGCTTTCCTAAATGTTCGTCCATGATGGCGTGGACTTTCAGGGATAAAGCTGCCTTTGAGTCATTCCTGCTCCTATAAGTAAAGCAATAAACGCACTAGTTCACCAAGGGGGTACTTAAAGGACTGTTACGTTGGCCTGTCATTGGTTCTCAGTTTGGACTTAACTCTCCCTCCCCTGGGAACAGTGTCTTACAACACTTTGTGTGTGTGCATTTTTTATCAACTGTTACAGATCTTTTATTCTACTGCCCACAGCTTTCCTAAGGGCTGTAAGCTAACAAATCTCACATTTCTAGTTCTGATTCAGGCCTCATTTATACCTGGATATCCCTATAATTCAATTGGGATATTCTGAAATTAAGATTTTTTTAATGCCTCTCTACTATCAAAAGAAGTACTCTCAAAGCTTTCCTTGATTTGGCCTTTACTTAAAACTTGCATCTCTTCTCTCATGATCACCCCTCACATATATGCATACACATACATATACATACATGGACTCAAATAACTAGAGTCTCACAAATATATAATATGCTAATTATCCCCCCCCTTAAATTATTTTGCCTCCTTTTTTTCTGACCTGGTACTTTAAAACAGAATTCCTAAGTTTCCCCTAAAACCAAGCAAACATGTTACACATATTAGTAATTTTTGTTTCCTCTAACAAGGCAAATGGATGTTAAGGGTTAGGACTAATACACTCTTAGATTTAGAGGTGATTTACCAATAAAGAGCAAAAAAAAAAAATTAGTAAATTTGAGGGAACCCAGTCAAGATCTGTATCACCCTAAACATTTCCATTTGCAGAGAGAGACTGAATTTAAGATCTCTGCAGAAGGCCAACCAAGTGTGCTAACTTCTACTGGTACTGCTGCTTTGCCTGGTAACTCTATTCGCCTTCACTTCCTTTCTATTAGCCAGTCTTATTCTCCATAATATCCTTCATACGTTGGGAAAATATATATTTACTCTCTCATGGTAGGAAGGCCACACAGAGCAGCTGTCAAGGTTCTGCTGGATCTGCTTCTGACAGAGAAAAACAAGGTCATAAATTCAATTGAAAAGTTGAATGGCCTGCATAGCCAGAAGGAAACCTAATGCATTTATCACTTTTACATGGGCTGTGTACTCTGCAAAGATTTGGTTTGCTCCTGAGTATAATCGGGTATAAAGAAATAACTCAACTAAGAAATTAATTTGGAGCAAAAGTTCTGATCTTCCCCACCCTGGTCATAATTCCAAAGGAAAATGCTAAGAAAACTTAACCAGGATTTAGATGACCATTTAAAGAATATTAATTTGTCTGAGTTTTTATAATGGTTTGTTTAGGAAAAAAACAAATTAATGGATAAAATATAGAGGCTTAAAATCATTGGTATTTTAATTGTTATTATAGGCTTGCCTACTTTACCTCGATATATTGTTTTGCTCTCCAACATCTGGGGACTCTAGCATGATTAGTATTATTGCTATCAGATCACCCCTCTTTACTTTTAAATCACTGAACACTTAAATTATTTATGTAATGCATTGCTTTGTCTCATTAGAAAACCTTAGCTTGTGAAATGGACACTTTCCCAAGAAGAGCTTCTATTATGACATGTACTCATTCTAATTCCATCTTTTTCTCTCCTTCCTTTATTCTGTGTCTCTCCCAATACTGACCCTGTTTCCTGGATTCCTTTCAGATTCCCTGGCTGTACCAGAGCAATTCACAGTACAGCGTGAGCCTGCTAAACCCAAACTTTGGGACCCCAATTCTAACAATGTGATAATAGATTTTTGTGCATACATTCACCCCGATTCTAAAGTCACAAACTAAAGTATGCCATGGTCTGGGCTGGAGAAATGGCTCAATGGTTAAAATCGTTTACCCCTGCCCCCAGAGAACCTGAGTTTGGCTCCCAGCTGGTAACTCCTGCTCCAGGAGACCCAGCCCTCTTCTGACTTCCCACTCTTGTGCACATAACCTGGCCACTCCACAGATATAATTAAAAATAAGTCGGTTTTAAATGTACATGATGGCTAATGGTGCTAAGATGTTAGACATTAGTGAATTAGTGCAACATGTGAAAATTCAAGTAAAGAGTTTAAGATTCAGGTGCTGCCACAGATAAGACACACATAAACAACCTACATTTGCTTTACTCTTGGCAACACAAGGCAACGAAAAGTGGGCAGTTGCAATTTTATAAAACATTTTTCAGTGCAAAAAACTAATCAAACCGTATCATGTGGGCTGTTCTGCTGTCCTAACAGGGAACAGATTGCTCCAGCTGAGAAAGCTTTCTGCCAAACCACTGGACAGCTGAAAAGGATATCCCTCTGGCCATCTGGGACGAAAGGTTTCCCTTGCCAATTCTCCCACTAAAAGTCCTTCTCTATTTAACCCCACGCTGGAATCACTAACTTGGGCTAGAACGTTTACATAATTCCATATTTAAAACATCAGAGTAAGGAAAGAAACAAACAATAAAAAATCAGAAGGTACTTTATATTGAAATGTATAACCTGTTTCTCAGGTTTTCAATTTCATATTCCTTAACTCTCAAGTCCCACTACATGCTACCCACACCTCTCCCGCGCCCACACCCACCCAAGAAAGTAACTTTCGTTTCCTCATATCTTATTTTTTGTCATCCTAAATTTCAGCACGTATGATACTACAATCTTTTGTATTTTGGACAGTTATACCAAATCATCTCCTCCACTTCCCTAGTCTGCATGAAATCCCACCTGCATTACCAACATCTGTGATCGCATCAAACACGGTCCCGACTACTTCTGACAAATTGTCCTGCAAAACTTAGTTGCCAAGAGAGCACCTGGAGTGCTGGGAATACTTCCTGGCAAATAATTTCCTTAAAACAAATTCGTAGGCTTCAGGACTTGACCACAGCTGGTTTTTCTGACTCACCCCGCTGCAACTTTGTCTCTCCACAAGCCGGTTTGCCTTTCAGGAATGACGATTATTGACTGCTCTGTGTGCCCCATCAGATCATTAGCTAATCGGCTGTCAAGTAATAGTCCAATGAGGTGACCAAAAACAAAACCAAACCGTTTCGTTGCCCTGCCCCTTCTTCCTCCATCCACCCTTGAGATTTCACAATTCTACCTGTCCGTTCCTCCAAGGAGAATACTATTTCTTCACACTAAGTCTCCGATTGGGCTTGCTCTGATCGCTAAACCTGTAGCACCCAGAAGAAGAGACAGTAACACGTTCTAGAATTGGACCCGAAAGTTAGGAAAATAAAAAGTACTGATTTTACGCCCTCCAGAAAGCCTTTCCCGGCAGTAACTCCTCGGGGATTTGGACAAAAGTGGGGAAGGGGTAAAAAAAAAAAAAAAAAAAAAAAAAAAAAAAAAAAAAACTTTACTAATACTCGCTTAGTGCGGTTGCTCCTCCTTTGTTGTTAAAAGGTTGACTTCAAACAAGTTATGAAGGCAATGCTTAAAAGAAGCAAGATAATTTAGTTCACAAGTAGACATTAGAGAGATCCAACTGAACATCACCTAAGTTCTCAGGGGGATTCCAAAGTACTCAGAACTCAGCTTATTGGTCTGATTCAAATCTCCTCAGCCTTTGAAATTGCCGGCGTCGCTGTTTTCCCACGATCTCTGCAATACGCCCCGGAATCGCCCCAGACCCACCTGAGCCGCGCCTGCACTGCCTTCAGGAGCCGGCAGAGGGCAGCGCGCCTGCGCGGCGACCCGGTACGCAGCCGCGCGCTCCTCCGCTCGGGATTCGCCGGGCACGGCGCTCCTCCCCCATCACGCCACACTGGGTTCCGGGCTTCCCCGGGGAGCCGCACTCCCGCGCAGCCCGAGCGCTGCTGTCCAGGTTTACGGCCCCAGAGCCCCGGCGCTGACTTCCCCTTCCGCTTTCTTAAGTCCCTCTTCCGCTCCTTCCGCTGCGCGACCCTCTTCCGCTCCCACCCAGGCTTCCGGGACTCTGGCCAGCTGACCTGCTTCCGCTCCTGCCGGGAGCCTGCTCACACTGGAGCCCTTCGCTAGCCAGAGCCCCTGGACCATCCGAAGGAACTCCCCGGCCCCGGAATACCCATCCGTTCCCTTCAGATTCCCCCAATTTTCTAGAACTTATTCCCCGAATGTCGCGACGTGGAGGAGGGACGTGGGTTTTTCTGTGGTTCTTTGCTGTAGGGTTCAGACTAGGGAAAGGAGACACCTAGATGCTTTCTACCCTGTTTGATTGCTAACCTAGGAAGAAGAGAAAGGGAGAGAATGGCAAAGGATACCGAGCCTTTTTAGATTTAAGAGTTATTGTGGGCAGTATTATGTCGTTAGAAATGAAATATTCAGTGAATACTTGTGACATGACATGTGCTATGGCATGTGCTCTTTAAGGACACCAAGCTAGAAATCTGTACTGACGTTTAGTTTTATGGCACAGGCTGTAAAGAAGTACTTCGGAAGCCAACCAAAAGGAAAGGAGCTTTTACTCCACATTTTATCGTTTGTATCATTTTATCCCAGAGAATGGACTCAGATTAAATCCTAGGTAGATGATATCAAAGGTAGATTAAAGTGACTGAAGCATTTTAATCAATAACTTTGAACAGTAGGGGGATGTCTGTTCCTAGTTGAGCAGATGCAATTGGGATGTTCTGAGAAGACAGTCTGAGCTAAATAGAGAAATGGAGAAAGTACAGCTTGCTTATCTGTGTAGAGAAAGTTGGTCCAGCAGCATTGTTTTGTTTGTGTTTCTGACAAGATCTAACCTACAGACACTGAGGAGACAACAGGCTTTGCCTTTCTTGTAAGATGTGCTTCTTGGGTCCTCGCAAATGTCGAGAATGCGTGTGTAACAGAAAGGTTGATTTACATACAACTGAACTGTACAGGTTTTTTTTTTCCCCAAGTACTTTGTTAAGAAAAGGAAGTGTAAACCAAGCTTGATGTTGCATACCTATAATCCCAATATTTTGTAAAGTGGATGCAGGAGGGTGAAGAGTTCAAGGGCACCTTTAGCTATGTAGAGTCTAGGGCCAGCCTGAGCTACTGAAACTCTGGGGTTTGTTTGGTTGTTTGTTTTTGCTTTTAAAAGGGGAAGAAAAGGGTAGAAATTAAAGATGAATATCTAGAGGCCATCTTTACACTGACTAAAACAAATAAATGAGCTTTTGGGAGCATTTTAAGAGTAGTTGGAAATCAGTTTGGCCAGCTCTATCCCTTTGTTTGGAAGGTACTCTCATGTTCCTAGACTTCTTGAATTACCATAAATAAGGATCAAAGTAATAAATCAAGATATTTTTCAAATACATTGATGGGAACTTGAGGTAAGCAGGTTGAAACAAGGCAGGGAAATCTTATCTGTGGATCTCAGATGCTGTCTGACAGATTTCTTAACATTTCGTTTGGTGGAAGCTATCAGTTTGTCTATTCCAAAGGATTTACCTAATCACAAAAATTGTTAGGTCATGCAGACTGGGCTAAAGATGGCCCAAGATGAATTGACATTAGACTTTGAACCTGTAACACTCCCACCTTTCCACAAACATTGAAGGCCTTAATCAGATAATTAGCCTTGCAGAAGGTTCAGTGTTCCCTGTGGTTCTTTCCAGAAAATTGTATTCATAGTTCCCTTTTGACTTTTTACCAATGGGAAGGCCACATGCTAATTTTCCTTTGTGGCTAGGAAGTCTCATTTCTAGAATCTGATGTAAATGAGACTGAGTGCTAGACAGGAAAGTAGTCTGGAGGATAACCAAGTAGCTAGTAAAGCTATTAAGGAGAAACTACTGAAGCACCTCATCCAAATTTACTGGCCATTAGATTTATTTATGTCTGATTTATCTTTTCATTTGTATTTGCATAATGTCACATAAAATATGAGTAACACACCTAAAATCAATAATGCACTGGCCTAACAAAGTGAAGATAGCAGATGAGGAAAACAGATAGTGGTAATCAATCAAAATGATTCTTGTAAAACTAGATTGGCTATGTTTTCTCCTCTACATAGTTGCTTGTGTTCCATCAATGATTTTATAGTTGCAGTATTTAAACACACTTTCCATTTTTTAGTTCGAATTTTTCTTTTTGTCAGTTTGGTCTCCAATTTCTTATTTATTTATTAAATTACTGCATTAAAAAAATGATCGCTTCTCATTTTACATACCTATCCCAGTCCCACTCCCTGCCCTCTTCCAGCTTTTCCCACCTTTCCCCCAACACCATCCATTCCTCAGAGAAGATGAGGTTATCCATGAAGAGTCAACAAAGTCTGACATATCACTGATGCAGAACCAAGGCCCTCCCCTATATATTTAGTGTTGTGGGACAATGGTCCTGTACCCTGTAAAGATTTGCCACCTGTATAGGTTTAATAAAATGCTGATTGGCCAGTAGCTTGGCTGGAATTATAGGTGGGGTGACCAGAACAGGAGAATTCTGGGGAGAGGAAAGGCTTCAGTCTGTAGTCATCACCCAGACACACAGGAAGCAAGATGAGGATGCCTTGCTGATAGGTACCAAACCACGTGGCTAACACAGACAAGAATTATGGGTTAGTGTAAGATGTAAGAGTTAGTTAATAAGAAAGCCTGAGCTAATAGGCCAACCAGTTTATAGTTAATGTAGGCCTCTGTGTGTTTCTTTGGAACTGGACAGCAGCAGGACCAGGCAGGAGAGAAATCTCTGTCAACAATTTAGGCTGAGCAGGATATACCACTAAAAAGAATGGGATCCAAAACTCCAGTTCATGCAGTAGGGATAAATCTTGGTCCCATGGATTTTTGCGACTGCAAAAATAGTCAAAATCACACATCTACCACCCACATTCAGAGGGCCTAGTTTGGTCCTATGCAGGTTCTCCTTCTGTCAGTCAAGAGTCAGTAAACTCCCACTAGCTCAGGTCAGCTGTTTCTGTGAGTATCCCCATCACATTCTTGACCCCTTTGCTCATAATATTGCTCCTTACTCTCTTGTACTGGTCTCCGGAAACTTGGCCCATTGTTAGCTGTTGATCTATGCATCTGCTTCCATCCGTTGCAGGACAAAATTTCCATGATGACAATTAAGGTAGTATCAGTCTGATTTTAGAGGGAAGGTCAGTTCAAGTACCCTCTCCACTATAGCTTAGGGTTTTAGCTGGAGTCATCCTTGTGGATTCCTGGGAATTTCCCTGGTGCCAGGTTTCACGCTAGCCCCATAATGACTCCCACAATGAAGAGATCCCCTTTTTTGCTCTTTATGTTCTTCCTCATGTCAACCCATCCTCTTCCCTTATATTCTCCTCCTCCCTCCCCTTCTCCCCAACCCCTTCCCTTTTGCCCTCCCTCCTCTCCTTCCACCGAAAATCTCCAGTTTCTTATGTGGGAGTCAGTTTAAGCTGTTATGCTGTTGAACAGAAAATCCTCTTAACAACAGGGACTAGACAGAGCTCATTTGTCATTCTGCACTTTGACTGGATGCATTCATTGTGCTCTAGCAGCCTTGCAAGATTGACAGCCTTTGTTCTTTTTTGTGTGACTCCATAATACTATCTATTAAGTAAGAGGAAACCTTTGTAATTTGGATATAATCCTACCCTAACTTTTGTCAATTTTTCAAGTCTTTCATGAGTTGCCAGTTCTCAAAACATTTACTATCAAGCTGAGATGAAATGGGTAAAGGGGAAGGAAAAAGTTAAAAGAGAGTTTAAAAGCATCTAAGGAATTTGGAGAAGAAAAAATACTGAACACTTGTTAGTGAACTAAAGTAACCAAATCCTTGTTTATATTTCATATACAGTCTCCTCTGTATCCATATATATGATTTAATCATTATCTTGAATAAATTGTGAAGATGGATGCTGAAAAGAAATCCCACAGTAGCTCAGAATTGAGTATAAGAAAAGGTTATTTTTTTAGGAGTAGACGCACAGATCACAGTCCTCTAAGAATGAGGAGCAGGAGCTGAATCAAGCAGCCAGAAGAGAGGTGACTGCAAGTTTTACATCACCATTTATAGTATAAGAGACCACGCCCCAGTGAGTGAGTAACTTAAAGGCTACTGGCAGTAGGAATTCCTACAGCACTTTCCCTTTTGATTAAATAAGCAAGTTCTAAGCCTAATACAAAATTGTATGCATTAAGAACAACTATCAGATATAAAATTAGAATTACAACTACCATAAACAATATCAAGCAAGAAAATATGTGATAAATGTTTCAATAATTATCCTATCCTAAGGAGTTTAAGTCTTGCATTATAAATAACTTGGCCAAGTAATGAGAGGAAAGTAACTACAACTGTCTAGTCCTCAAACCCATTGAAGACCCAAGAAGGGAAATAATAGTACTTGAGTAAGGAGAAAGAGCAATCAATCAACTCAAAAATGTGCAACAAATGACAGAGACACTAGCTACCTGGGAAATCACCCAAAGTCTCATTTGCAGCACTGAAGCAACCAACTTTGGCTGATGCTTAAAGTAATGGACAGACCATTTTCAAAGGCAGGAAAGTTTTCAAAACCATCTTACCTGTCTTGGCAAGATTTGACAGTCTTTTTTCTTGTATCCTGCCTTTCTTGTCCAGACATCATACATTTTGCCAGTAGTCGATGCATGGGCAGTTCCTTGCCCAAAGGCCAGTTTCGCCAAGAAGAAAAGAGCTCCAAGTGGAATGTATTCAGTGTTCAATATTCTCTCAAGAATAAATCAGTGCTACCAGGAGCAATCATGTCTCAGGTCAACAGAACCCTAAGTTATTTAAATGCCATATTCTACAGTTCTTTGAAGTAGTTGAAGATTACTTATCTATGTAGAATACAATATCTATGTATCAA